TCCAGTCTGGGCGACAGAGTGCGCCTCCAACTCAAAAAAAAAAAAAAAAAAAAAAAGGTGAGGAAACTTGCTTAGCTCTTCATCTAAGCAGGCTTGGTAGGAAACTTCACGGGACTTTGGAGCCTGGGCGTTTTCTCAGATGGGTGCAGAGCTGTCCAGAGCATGGGATTTAGGTGTTTAACTGTGCCCTGAGCACCCAGGTTACTCTTCATATGACATTGGCAAATTAGTTGTTAAACAGTCTCTCCTGGCTTGCTTTCAGCATCTAACTAGCTTCTCTTCCTTGTGTTTAGCACCCGTGTAGGTTGCTATTGGGAGTTGCCCATGGCATTACCTGTGATGTGGCTTTATCTATTGCTATTAGTGGTCAATTTTGTGTGCTGAGGACCACAAAGAAGTAAAATTCCTTTCTCCACAGATGATTCAAAAATAGGGAGGCATCCCTTGATCTGGAATAGGCCAGCTGAGCATAAAGGTGGGGGGTAGAGACTCTTCCAGACCCCTGTTTGCAATGTTTCTCTGGCCCTGTGGGACAGAAGTTGGCATGTTGGGAGCCCAGGCTATCGCATTAATATGAATGATCGCCTTGTTGTATGTCTTTGCTCTAGAGTGACAATCCGATTTTTAAAGAACATGAGTATACTGAGTTTGGGAAATGGATGGATGGATGGGAGACCAGAAGGAAAAGGATTCCAGGTAATAAGATGATGACTTGCTCATTGCAGTGCATTCAACACTGTAGAGTTAAAAAACAGGAAAAAAGCTGGGGTCTATTTTGAATATAAGGTCCTTGGAATACTCTGTAATCTTGGGGGTCCCTGTTTGGACATCAGGCTCTGAGATCCCTTGTCATTGATACACCACCAAGCAAAAATGAGGGTGGAAACATGTTTTTAGGAAAATGAAAACACTGGTGAGGGCTGTGGATGAAAGGGAAGATCATGCCACATGGCAGGCATTATTTGCTAAGTGTATTTACACTGGAGCCTCACAACAACCTTCTAAAGAAGATGTTTCAGCCGGGCTCGGTGGCTCAGCCTGTAATCCTGGCACTTTGGGGGGCCAAGGCGAGTGGATTGCCTGAGCCCGTGGGTTCGAGACCAGCCCGGGCAACTTGGTGAGACCTCATCTCTACAATAAAATAAAATAAAAAAATTAGTTGGGCATGGTAGCACGCACCTGTAGTTCCAGCTACTTGGAAAGCTGAGGCAGAAGGATGGCTGGAGCCCAGTGAATCGACGCTGGGGTGGCAGTGAGTGTGACACTACACTCCAGCCTGGGTGACGGAATGAGACTCAACTCAAAAAAAAGTTTCATCCTCATTTAATCACCAAAACAGATTTGTTGACTCAGCCCAGGTCACACAGCTGACAAGATAAGCTGGGAATTGAATCAAGGTCTGTCCTATGCCTCTGTACACACTATCTGTCACCTTAGGATGTGATTTTTATTCATTGCTACTCGTCTGTCTCAACCAAAACATACCTTTTGAAGTTGAAAAAAAGTGAACAAATCCAGGAATTAGGTTGATAACTGGATTTTTTTTTTTTTTTTTTTGCTGCTGTCTTCAGTATTGCAGAAGTATTAGATATTACTAACTTTCTAAGTTTCTATAGTACTTGAGGCAGTATTATAGTGTAATAAATATGGACATTTTAAGATGGCTTTGTATCTGGCAGCAAATAACCAAGAACTACATAGTGATATTCAAGACTTTGGCAGACACAAAGCAGGGCATTCTCAACATGGGGTGTACGGGAGAACCAGTTCTACTACCTGCTGAGCTGGGCCAGGTGTCTTTCTTCCTTCCTTCCTTCCTTCCTCCCTCCCTCCCTTCCTTCCTTCCTTCTTTCCTTCCTTCGCTCCTTCCTTTTTTCCTTCCTTCCCTCCTTCCTTTCTTTTTCAGTTGAGGGCTCATTTTGTGGCCCAGGTTGGAGTGCAGAGGCACGTTCACAGCCATCCCAGCATTGACCTGCTGGGCTCTGGTGATCCTTACACCTCAGCCTTCCAAATAGCTGGAACTACAGTTATGCGCTACCATGCCCAGCTAATTTTTAAAATTTTATTGTAGAGATGAGGTGTCACCAAGTTGCCCAGGCTGATCTTGAACCCGTGGGCTCAGGCAATACACTCTCTTTGTCCTCCCAAAGAGTTGGAACTATAGGCTGAGTCATGGAGCCCGATCGGGCCAGGTGTTTTCTATACCATGGTAGTCATATTCAAGCTTTATGGAAGCTAATATCATTCCTGATTTATAGTTGAAGAAATGAGGTTCGGAGAGGCCAAATAATTTGCTAAGGACAGTCACAGGAAATGATCAATTTGGAATCAAAACAGGGTCTTTCTGAATTCGAAGGCTATGCATTTTCTGGTCCGACTAGAATTTAGGACTCATGTTGAGAAACGGTGCTCATGTGTGGCCGATTAGGAGCGATCTTAAAGTCATATGAGCTAAGAATGAACCCACACACGTGTTTCTGTGATGGGAGGAATGCATTCCTGTTACAGGTTATGTCCACTTTCATCCCGCTGAGTCATGTGCTCCATTCACCGCATTTACTCTAACAAGGCTGCTCTGGTTTCCGTGGCACAGGTCATGACTGGTGCATCATCAGGCTGGGAATACATGGAGTTATCCGGGGCTTCGACGTGGACGTTTCTTACTTCACAGGAAGTCATGCTCCTCGAATGTCAATTCAAGCGGCAAACTTGGAAGAAGGTGCCTTAGGAACCATTGTCCCTAGAATGAGAATTGTGGGGTCGCACAGCTCCTCTGGTCCAGCCCCCTGACAGCTCACTTTGGACATGGCCCAGCCAGGTTCATCTATATGACTACAACCACTTTACTACGACAGAGCTTTAGGACTAGGACTGCCAATAGAGTGCTCTGTGATTTTTGATCTTTAGCCTATGTTCTTTGGTCCAGTTTAAATCAAATCATTCCTACGGTCTTTAGGCCTCAGGCAGAGGCATGCCATCTGTCCCTGGGACATTTGGTGAGAAGGTTTCTGGGGAAGTTGGGAAGAAGTGGGCTGTGTCGAGGATGACCGGATGATCTGGAGCCAGGCTTGGGGCAGCTTTGGAACCAGCAGCATCACTTCTGCTTTCGACTGTCCCTGTGAGCGTGGGGAGACAGCTATTAAGGGTCTTTGAAAAGGGTTCCTATCTGCATCTTGGAATGCTGGACCTTATAAATTATGTAGCTCTATAATTAGAACTGTTCTGTGAAAGGGTTGTCCACACAAAGTGGTCCCCAAATGTCAAAAGAGCGGAGAAACCAAAGAATGAGGCAGACACGGTTAGCTTTTTGGTAAAGGGTATTTTATCGGGGGATTTAGCAGAAGTGTGGTCTTGGGCTGCCACAAGAGGTCGGTGTCTGCACTGCTGCTCTCTGGGCTCAGGGAGCATGTGCTCCAGCAAGAAGATGCTCCAGAACAGGCGGGAAAGCTGTGTGCATCCCAGTCTGTAATTCGTGGGACAACTTCAAGGTTGATGAATCCTTACACGAGGGATAGCAAGTAAAGTAGGAATCAGCAGGCATTCACGGGACTGGGGCTGATCAGAAGTCATCATAGCAGATTAACCTTTCAGATGGGGTCACTTTTGTCTCCAACAGACTTGTGTTTTTTTTTTTTTTAATGTGGAGTACAGTTCAGGGTTAGGTATACAAATGTTCATTGTGCAGGTACCCTTGTTGATGAGATGTGCCCCTCCCTCCCCTGGCAGTTTCCCACTGCTGCCAATCGCACCACCTCCCCTCCCCCAGTCTTTTCTTATAGTATTATGATAGTTGTTCAAGGTCCACTTAGAGTGAGAACATGGGATACTCGGTTCTTTGTTTCTGTGATGGATCACTCAGTGTTGTAGGCTCTAAGTCCATTCCAGACTTGTATTTTTATCCCCTTGGTCGGTATCACTTGATTTGGCTTTAGAATTATTTTCTTTAGAAACTTGTACAGTTATATATGTGTATATACATGTACTTAAGAAAGATAAATTGTATCAGTTGGAAAATTTATACTGAAAGCACAATGTGCACAGTACTTACCGCAGGAGGGTCTGTGAAAATGAACAGGCCCTGCTCCCTAAAGGTGGATGGGGCACCTGAACAGTAGATGATGATGCCAGAGACGTTACTCTACAAGCAGGAAGTGACTAATGACAAATAAGGGAAGAATGAGCAAGATTATTTCAGCAAGCCTATTAATTGTCCATGAGGGCTTCTATTTCTTAATCACCCACGTATCAATTTTAAGGATGCCATCGGGGGAGGTAGTGTTTCTGGAATTGACTTTATTGATCCAACTTTGAAAACTCTAGCAATGTGTTACATTTGTTTAAGTCTGACTTAACTTGGAAATGATATTTATTATTTTGACAAACAAATGTAATAATAAGTATATTGCACTATTTTTTGAAATTACCGTGTTAATATATTAAATATTGACAAACTTTAACGAGTGTGTCTATTACTTTGATCATCTGATACTTTGACTTACAAAATGCCTTTAGTGTTATTTGACAAAATGAAAATTACCATATAGCTCACTAAGAGAGTATATTCTGTTTGATTTTTAACCCTGACCTTAATCCTGAATGATCATCTGACTTCAGACAAACTACCAGAAATCCCGGAGAGGGGGATCAGGACAGGAGCTGCAGCCACATCTGAGGAGTTCGAAGCTATTGATGAGGTACATCTCCAAACAGTAAAGTGGGTCTTGCCACCAATTAATAGGACAGTAAGGAAACTGCACTGCATGCCTGGCTGTGCAAGGCTACTCTTGGGGACACTCAGCTCTGGCATACCTCACCTCATTTACTTACCCACTGCAACCTTACGATTGTGTCATTAGTGGTTCATTCAAGCCCTGCACAAGGGAACATCATGGTCTGCAAGAGACCTCGTATAGTGCTTCTCAAAGGGTTCGGCTGTTACCCACCTGCATTCTATTATTGGCTTCTGATGAGGTACACTAACAGAAATTGACAGTAAGCATTTAAACACTTTTTATAGCAATTTGATGAAGTGACTTTCATATCTGAGGAGTTTAATAAACAATTGGGAAAAAATAAACAATTGGGTCTTGTGTTTGTGTACATTCTTGTTTTTTTTTTTTTTCCAGTCTGTCGCCCAGACTGGAATGCAGTGGCCGCTCCTGGCCACCGCAGCCTCAGCCTGCTGGGCTCTGGTGATCCTTCCACCTCAGCCTTCCAAGTAGCCAGAACTACCGGCGTGCGCTACCACGCCCGGCTAGTTTTTGGATTTATTGTAGAGATGAGGTCTTGCCAAATTGCCCAGGCGGGTCTTGAATCCGTGGGCTCAGGCAATCCACTCGCCTTGGCCTCCCAAAGTGCTGAGATTACAGGCTGAGCCACAGAGCCCGGCCATTCTTGGGTTTTCTTTTTTTTTAGGTTATTTGTCTAGTAATTAATTTGTATTGTGTGTTTTTTTAATGGTTTTTTGTTATTGTTTTTGTTGAACTTTCACTCTGCTGCCCAGGCTGGAGTGCAGTAGTACGATCAGGGTTCACTGCAGCTTCGACCTCCTGGGTTCATGTGATCCTCCGCCTCAGCCTCTTGAGTAGCTGGGACCACAGACATACCACCATGCCCAGCTTATTATTATTATTTTATTTTTGCAGAGACGAGGTCTTGCTATGTTTCCCAGGCTATTCTTAAATTTCTGGGCTCAAGCAATACTCTTTCCTTGGCCTCCCAAAGTGCTGGGATTATAGGCATGAGCCACTGTGCCTGGCCTGTATTATGAAAGTGTTGATCCATAACAGGGAAATAAATAACAGCAACAACTGTAAGCAAGTCCTTCAATTTGAGCAGCACCAACCTAGAGAGAATTGTTGCAAGGTTTAAGCCAACCAGTTTCTCAAGATCTCATGGTCCATGAGAATAGCTTCGATTTTTATTTGAATGTTCATGTTACTTTCTGGTTTCTCCTAAGAATCCTCAAGATGAAGCCATTTCAAGAGGTCTGAGATCTTGTCCTTCACTCAGAAGCCCCTGCCACCATACCCACTGGCTAGTATGACCAGTGAAATGAAAAAAAAAAAAAAAACAACCTCACAGGTCTTTATTCTGTTTATTATTAGATCTGGGGCTTAAGCTTCACTATTCTTAATAAAGTATTCTATTAGGCATCCATCATTAATTTTTATTCCAAAGTATTTCTACTCCTTAAGCCCCATGGAGGCACTAGGATGAGAGAGTTTATTGTTCCCAGTAGCTATTACTATGCTAATATTTTTATATTTATTGCTAGCTAAAATCCAACGACTGGGATTGCTTGGTTCCCATGACAGAGCTTAAGCCGCAAAACCCTGCTTCCAGCCACAACTATTTTCTTGTCAATTCCCAGAAGATATGGACTCACATCAGACTCAACATTTTCCCAGGTAGATGAGAAAGGGCTCTATCTCCAGTTTGGTGGTTTCTTCCCTTTATATTGGCATGCTTATAAGCTACAAAACGAATCACTCTTTCCTTCTTGATAACTGAGCTCTCTAGCATTTTAGGATAATAATTTGCCATTTTGTACTCCAGGAAATTCTTGTTTTACTTTGCCCATCAATAAGTAGTTGTGGAGGAATTATCAGGTAAATTGGGATGTGGTGGAACTAAGTTGTTAATTAAGTTAGACAGGTTCTAAACATTTCTATTTTAGAGATGTATGAGTAGTTGAAGTTTTATGTACAAATGACTCATTTTATCTTATTTTTAGTACCAGCTTTATTGTGATATAATTCACATAACATGTAATTCACCTATTTGAAGGATGCAATAAATGGTTTATAGTATATGCACAGTTATGTGCAACTACTACCACCACAATTTTGCCTTCCAAGTAGCTGGAACTACAGACACGTGCCACCATGCCTGGCTAATTTTTTATTTATTGTAGAAATGAGTTTTCACCAAGTTGCCCAGGTTGGTCTCAAACCCATGAGCTCAGGCAATCCTCTCACCTTGGACTCCCAAAGTGCTGGGATTATAGGTATGAGCCACCGTGTCAGACCCTTAGAACATTTGTATCACCCCATAAAGAACCCCATGTCGCCGGGCTCGGTGGCTCAGCCTGTAATTCCACGCCTTTGGGAGGCTGAGGTGAGTGGATTGCCTGAGCCGGCAGGTTCGAGAACCACCTGGGCAGTGAGACCTCATCTCTACAATTAATCAAAAAATCAGCTGGGCGTGGTAGCGCATGCCTGTAATTCCGGCTACACGGAAGGCTGAGGCGGAAGGATCGCTGGAATCCAGCAGGCGAGGCTGCGGTGGCCGGGAGCGGCCACTGCACTCCAGTCTAGGTGACCAAGTGAGACTCCAACTCAAAAAAAAAAGAACCCCATGTCCTTAAGCTACCACCCTCCATCTTCCCCAGCCTCAAGCAACCACTAATTTACTTTCCCCCTGGATAGTTTTGGCCATTTTAGTCATTTTATATAAATGGAATCATATAATGCTAATCTTTCATCTCTTCTTTCACTTAGCATAATGTTTTCAAGACTCATCTATATTGTGATGTGTATCAGTTCTTTATTTCTTTTCATGGCAGAACAGTTTTCCATTGTATGGATGTACAGGTTGAACATCTCAAATTCAAAAATCAGAAAGCCAAAGTACTCAAAAATTAAAAACTTTTTGAGTGCTGAAGTGATGCTCCAAGGAATTGCTTATCAACGCATTTTGGATTTCAAATTTGGGATACTCTACCCGTAAATACAATGCAAATAGGGGGCACCCCAGAAAAAACCAGAATTATTTTTTGGAGGGTGAACCCCTTGTAGTACAGGCTTCCCCTGCTAGGTAAGTGTTCTAGGAACCCATTGGCATCAGTGTACCAGCTAGAGGTTGCATTCTGCTTCACCGAATTTTTTTTTGTGTGGAGATTCTTTCAACGCATTTGCCCGTTTTATGATAGGTGATTTATGAGTACACCTGCCCACACAATGCTAAATGTTTAGCAGTTTTTGACAAAAATGACATGACCTCCATACCCCGCCCTCACTATTCATCTGATCTCTCCTTGAGTGACTGTTTTTCCCTTCAAATATGAAAAAAGTTCTCAGAGGGAGCACTTTTGCTGATGTGGAATAGGTGAAACAAAAAGTGGCTAAGTACTAAAAGACGTCAAAATTGACAAGTCCAAAAATTGTTTTGCAGTGGAAAAAGTGTCTTGATAGGTGTACTTGATGAGTCCTTGAAAGGTGACTGAAGTTTAAACATGTAAGAATAAACATACAATTTCAAAATAAATAAATTCTGGGTGTTTTTAGGTCCCCCTTTGTATATCCAAATCTAGAAAATATCCAAGATCTGAAACACTCTTTGATTCCAAGCATTTTGGATAATGGATGCTTCAACCCGTACCACATTTTGTTTATTCATTCATCAGATGACAGACATTCGTTTCTGCTTGTTGGCTATTGTGAACAATGCTGTTGTAAACATTTGTGTACGAATTTTTGGGTAGATATATTTTTGTCATAAGTCTTGAGTATAACAAAGATTGGAATTGCTGGATCATATATATATATATATATATATTTATTTATTTTTATTTTTATTTTTTATTTTTTATTTTTTTTGAGTTGGAGTCTCACTCTGTCGCCCAGACTGGAGTGCAGTGGCCGCTCCTGGCCACCGCACCCTCGACCTGCTGGGCTCCGGCGATCCTTCCGCCTCACCCTTCCGAGTAGCTGGAACTACAGGTGCGCGCTACCACACCCGGATAATTTTTTTTGATTTATGTAGAGATGAGGGCTCGCCAAGTTGCCCAGGCGGGTCTCGAACCCACGGGCTCAGGCAATCCACTCACCTCAGCCTCTCAAGGCACGGGATTACAGGCTGAGCCACCGAGCCCGGCTGCTGGATCATATATTAGCTCAATGTTTAACTGTTTGAGGAACTGCTAGACTTTTCCAGAATGGTTGCTTCATACAACATTCTCACTAGCCACATGTGAAGTGCTGACTTCTCCACACCCTTCCTAACACTCTTTATCTGACTTTTTGTTTATAGTCACCTAGTGACTGTGATGTAGTAACTCACTGTACTTTTGAGCATTTTCTGGATGACTAATGATGACGAGCATTTTTTCATGTGCTTATTGGCTATTTTCATATTTTTTTTGAAAAGTGTTTCTTTGGATCTTAATTCATTTGTCCTTTATTATTGAGTTATATGAATCCTTTATATATTCTAGACACAAGTCTCTTATCAGATGGAAGATTTTGCAACTATTTTCTCCCATTCTGTGGAATGCCTTTTCACTTTCTTGAAGTGCCTTTTAAAAAAAAGAGACAGGGTCTTGTTTTGTTGCCCAGGCTGGAGTGCCAGTGGTACGATCACAGCTCTCTACAGCCTCAAGCTCCTGGGCTCAAGTGGTTCTTCCTCCTCAATCTCCCTAGTAGCTAGCAATACAGGTATGTGTTCCACCACTCCTGGTTAACTTTTTATATATATTTTGTTATTTTTTTTGAAGAGACAGGGTCTTGCTATATTGCCCAGTCAAGTCTCAAACTACTGGCCTCAAGCAAACCTCCTGCCTTGGTCTCTCAAAGCACTGGAATTACACATGTGAATCACCACCATTCTAGCTTGATAGTGACTTTTGAAGCACTTTTGATGAAGTTCAATAAATTTGTTTTTTCTTTTGTTGCTTGTGCTTTTGTGTCATTCCTAGGAAGTCACACATAGAAGTCATTTCTGAGGCCATGTTTTTTCTAAGTGTTTAATAGATATACATCTTTGATTAAAGACGTAAGATAATTTACTATCTTAACGGAATCTTTTTAATCAATTTCAAGTTAGTTTTTGCTGATGATGTGAGGTAAAGATTCACCTTTTTTCTTTTTTACGTAGATGAGAACCCTTGGTTGACAATATACTTCTTTCCCAATTGAATGACTCTGGAACACTCGTTGGAAGTTAGTTGATCATATTTTCAGATTCTCAATTCTATCCTATTAAGTCTGTTTTAGTAATTTGTGTCTTCTAAGAATTTGTCCAATTGATCTAAGTCATCCAATTTATTGGCATATAATACATGACAATTGTTCACATTGTTCTCTTATATTCTTTTTTCTTATTATTTCTGAAAGGTTAGTAGTAATGTCAGCTTTTTCACTTCTGAGTTTAGTCATCTCTTTCGCTCAGGTCAATTTAGCTAAAGGTTTGCCAACTTTGTTGATATTCTCAAATAATCAACTTTAGTTTTCATTTTTTGTTTTCTGTTTCATTTATCTATACTTAAATATTATTTTCTCTCATATGCTTGCTATAGGTTTAGTTTCCTTTCCCCTCTCAGTGTAATAAAATAGAAAGTTTTAAATTATTTATTTATTGGTTTATTTATTCCACTCATTTTTTTTTTTGAATTGGGGTCTCACTCTGATGCCCAGGCTGAAGTGCCGTGACACACTCATGGCCACCCCAGCATTGACCTGTTGGGTTTCAGTGATCCTTCCACTTCAGTCTTCCAAGTAGCTGGAACTACAGGTGTGTGCTACCACGCCTGGTTAATTTTTTAAAAAATTTATTGTAGAGATGAGGTTTCACCAAGTTACCTGGGCTGCTTTTTAACCTGTGGGCTCAGGCAATCCACTCGCCTCAGCCTCCCAAAGTGCTGGGATTACAGGCTGAGCCACCGAGGCCAGCCCACCAATTTTTAATAATCTATTAAATGTCTCATTTGTGCCAAACATGTGCTAAGACCTAGAGAAGCAATAGTGGCAAAAGATAAACTTTAAACATTTAAAAAAATTTTATTTTAAAATTGTGGGGTACATGTGAGAATTTGTTACTTAAGTACATTGTGTGACAGCAAAGTTTGGGTTTCTAACTAACCCTTTCCTCTCCTAGTAGTGGACATGGTAGCCAATGGGTGGTTTTGTATCCTTTATCACTTCCCTCCCTCTCTCTCTTCTTGTGTCCATGTGCCCAATGTTTAGTGCCCACTTATGAGTGAGAACACATGGTCTTGTTTTTTTATTTCTGTGATAATTCACTTAAAATGACGGCTTCCACTTGCATCCATGTCGCTGCAAATAACATGACCGTGTTCTTCTTTATGGCTGCATAGTATTCCATTATGTATATATACCACATTTTTCTTATCCAGTCCACTTTCAATAGGCATCTGGATTGATTCCATGTTTTTGCCTTTGTGAATAGTGCTACAGTAAACATGTGTGTGCAGGTGTCTTTTTGATAGAGCAATTTATGTTCCCCTGGGTATATTCCCAGGAGTGGAATTGCTGGGTCCAGTGGTAGTTCCTCAGTTCTTTGAGAAATCTCCAAACTGCTTTTCACAGTGGAACTAGCTGACATTCCCACCAACAGTATACAAGCATTCCCTTTTCCCTGCAGCCTCACAAACACCTGCTTTTTTTTTTGA